TCTCGGGCTTAAGTGATTCTCTTGCCTCAACCTCCCAAGCAGCTGGGACTATAGGCACCCACCACAATGCTGGGCTATTTTTTGGTTGCAGTTGTCATTGTTGTTTAACAGGCCCAGGCCAGGCTTGCATCCACCAGCCTGGGTGTGTATGTGGCTGGTGCCCTACTCAACAAGCTTTGAGCACCAAGCCTAGTTTTTCTATTTTTAGTAGAGACAGGGTTTCACTCTTACTCAGGCTGATCTCTAACTTCTGAACTTAAGAGATCCACCCACCTTGGTCTTCAATAAGCTTTCTTATATCCCAGTCACACTTTCCTCTAGAACTTACTATTACCAATAACTGCACCAAGTCCACAATTCTGATAGCCTCTAACACTCTGACCATCACTAGTTCACTTAGTTCCACAACACTTCCTTCATATCCCTCTCCCCACATCAGTCCCAGTCTTCCCTAAGCTCCAGACTCATAAACATCCTACATGACTTCTTCATAAGATACCACACATTATAGGCATCTCATGGGCATCTCAAACATAACATGACCGAAACTGAACTACTGACATTCCCTCTAATTCCACTCTTCCCACTCTGTTCCCCACCTCAGTTAACGAGACCAGAAGTCACTCTTTGCCCAGATGATTTTTAAAAACCTACCTGTCGTCTTGATTCTTTGCCTCATCTAGTCCAACTCCAACCTCTTCTCACCATATCCACTGCTCTCAATGCAGTCTAAACCACTATCATCTCTTACTGCAATAGGCTTTGAAATGCTCTCCCTTTATTTTCTCCCTTCTGGTCTATATTTTTAAACATAGCACTCAGCGTAAATCCTTTTAAAAGAGAAGTTAGAACAAGTCACATCCCTACTTAAACTCTTTTCTTTTTTTTTGAGACAGAGTCTATGTCGCCCTCAGTAGAGTGCTACAGCATCACAGCTCACAGCAACCTCAAACTCTTGGGGTTAAGTGGTTTTCTTGCCTCAGCCTCCCAACTAGCTGGGACTGTTGCTGGCCACAACACCTGGCTATTTTTAGAGGCAAGGTCTTTCTTGCTCTGGCTCAGGCTGGTCTCCAACTCCTGAGCTCAGGCAATCCAGCCACCTCACCCTCTGAGTGCTAGGGTGGCTAGGATTACAGGGGTGTGAGGCACTGCCCCCACCCTACTATTTAAATTCCTTAGGGGGGAATTACTATTCGCTAAACTAGCTAGGCAGTGTGGCAGGCACCTGTAGTCCCAGCTACTTGGAAGGCTGAGGCAAGAGAATCGCTTAAGCCCAAGAGTTAGAGGTTCCTGTGAGCTGTGATGCCATGGCACTCTATCCAGGGCGACAGCTTGACACTCTGTCTCAAAAAAAAGAAACACAACAGGGCGGTGCCTGTGGCTCAAAGGAGTAGGGCGCTGGCCCCATATGCTGGAGGTGGCAGGTTCAAACCCAGCCCAGGCCAAAAACTGAAAAAAAAAGAAAAAAATACACAACAGAAGAAGGAAGGTAATACTCTAATGAAGAACGTATGAAAAAGAATAGACTTTGGTGACAGATTCACTAAAGTAAACATTTCATTGAGATCTACTAAATGTCAGGCCCTAAAGACCCAAAGATGACTACAACAATCTATGCTCCCAAAGAGTGGAAATTTAGAAGGAAAAGGGGAGCATTTATAGAACAGTAAAAAAAAGCTTGGGCCTAAAAGAGATTAGAGAAGAACCAGGAAGAAGAGAGGTTGGAAATCAAATTAGAGGGTTCAAGAAGAGGTAATCTATGGTTATTAACATGGAAAGTTCAAGTAGGATAAAAATGGAGGAAAAGGGGGAAGGTGGAACATGAGAATCTCACAATTTGGAGACATAAATAGGTACAACTTGCTTAACCACATGTACAGTTAGTTTCAGGAAGAAGGACTAAGAAATGTACTGGAGTAGGTTGCAACATGAGTTAAGGAAGTGAAAACTGATCATAAGACTAGTCTCAAAAGCTCCAGCAGTGAAGGCACCACTACTGTTTACACAGCCAGTAACATTTACAAAGCTGGGTGTGTGTACCCCACACCTCATTCAATGTTTTCATTTTTAAAAAGATGCAGCAGATTCAGAAATGGTAAGATTTGGCTCGGCGCCTGTGGCTCAAGCGGCTAAGGCGCCAGCCACATACACCTAAGGTGGCAGGTTCGAATCCCTAGCCCGGGCCCGCCAAACAACAATGATGGCTGCAACCAAAAAATAGCCAGGCGTTGTGGCGGGCGCCTGTAGTCCCAGCTACTTGGGAGGCTGAGGCAGGAGACTCGCTTGAGCCCAGGAGTTGGAGGTTGCTGTGAGCATGATGCCATGGCACTCTACCCAGGGGGACAGCTTGAGGCTCCATCTCAAAAAAAAAAAAAAAAAAAAGAAATGGTAAGATTTGTTCAAAGCTACACAGCCAATACGTGGCAGCATAAATATTTTCCCTCTGGGTGACCTAAAGTTGACGAGGTAGCTGTTTAAAAAAATACACTGAAGAACTTTTTAAAACAATCTAATCTGTACCTGTAATTGTGTAATGTTCCGTATGATAAGGATCTAACTTGTCTCAAGAAAGCAAAACATGAAGAATTGGTTTGAGAAACAAATGAACTATGTTAGAAAGAAGTGTCAACTTTAGCCAGCCAGCAGTGTTTCCATTAACAGAGCTTTCAAAAGAGCCTATCACAAATATGAGTACCTACTCCAGGTAAAAAAAACTTGGCCACATCACCCTCAGGTTCAGTGGGGAAAAAGAAAAACAAACTGAGGACAGAATTTACAATGCAAAGCATTAAATTTCTCCCTCTTCCTTCAAAAGGTCTGCCCTACCTCACTGAAATACCTCAACTGGGAAAGGAACTGAAGATCAAAGATTTGCCCCAGTACAACCCTACAACTTTTACTTGAGGCAGAACTGAGTAATTAATTAGCAAAACTGAAGAACATAGACAAATTTCATAAACCAGCATATGGTTAGTATAAATGTGGCAAATTCCAAAACAAAGGCCCTTTTTTGGCAAATGAAGCATAACTTGCCTTTTCCCATTTCTGTGCCTCATTGATTTTACTTAAGACTATGTCCTCCAGTTCCATCCATGTAATTGCAAATAATAGGATTTTGTTCTTTTTTAAGGGCTAATATTCCATTTCTGTCCCAAAGGAAAAGGCATTTTTCCTTAGTTAATACAGTAGATCCCCCATATCCACAGGGGATACACCTCCAAGACCCCCCTGGAACCTCGGGACAGTACCAAACTCTATACATACTGGTTTTTTACACACATATAACAAAGCTTAATTTATAAGTCAGGCACAGTAAGAGAAGAACAACAATAAATAATAAAACAGATTACAACAATATACTGTAATGAAAGGTATGTGAATAATGGTCTCTCTCCCTCAAAATCTTACTGTACTTTTGGACCTCAGACCTTAGGCAACTTATCTGGAAACCACAGATAAGGAGGGACTACACCAGGGGTCGTCAAATTTTTTAAACAGGGGGCCAGTTCATTGTCCCTCAGACAGCTGAAGGGCTGGACTGCGGGCCGGGACGAGTAGGCTGCTAAGCAGGACAGGCAGCGGCGGCAAAAACACCAAGAGGGCAGATAAATGTCCTGAGTGGGCCGCATGTGGCCCGCGGACTGTAGTTTGAGGATGCCTGGACTGCACTATTTCTCATCCAAAAGTCCCTTGTCTGTCCTTCAGGTCTTTCATTCTTTCACTGGGCCAAGTGCTGGGCCAGATTCTAAGAATTAAGACAAAAGATGGACCAGCCTAGCCTTGAAATTTACTAGTACAGGAAACAAAATATCTAATTAATGCAACTCAGTACACAGATCTCTGCTAAGGAGACTGAGTGCTAAGGTTTATCCAGGATAGGTGGTTTCCAGAGGAAACAGTATTTGGGCTGATATTTTGAGAAAAGCAGAGGAGTTTGGGGAAAGGTGAGGATAGAGCATGAGAATTGGAGGAAACCCCTAAAGGCCAAGATGCAGGAAAGAGACTGAAGCTTTCCAAGAATAAGAATAGTGCCTGTGAGGCTTCAGCCTAGAAAGCCTGGAGAAAAGTAACCCAAATGACCCGGAGTTACAAAGAGTGCCCTCCTTTGGGTTATTTATCCTAAGAGAATGTGAAATCTCTGACGGGTTCTAAGCATGTAATCGTGCATTTCTGAACGATTACTCTTCAGTGCATCACCGGCTCTTTCCAAAACCCCTTATTGCCTCGACAAAACAGACTTCCTCCTTAACTAGTCATTCACTGATACTGCCCAACTTTAAAAACTAAAAAAGAAAAAAAGGAAAATTCTCCAAACTGAAATCTTCTTCAAGGGAGAAGACAAGTAGTCTGAAAAATAAAGTAGTTTAAACGGGTGACCACTTAAATATTAAACAATGACTAAGGAAATGAACCCATATATAAAAACAGGGAACAAAGTATATAATTATTCCTCACAAATAACCTGTAAATACACAGATCACAAAGCACATGGCTACTAACAGTTAAAGACTGCGACAAAAGCTTAACTACATCCTGATACTTTAAAATAAAATGTGAGTTTGATTAAAGGTTTCACATCTTTTTAGTACCATCCTTCCCTTCTCACCCATTTTTCCTAAATTACGAAGAAGATGACATCCTAAGTACATTCTTGGTTTCGCTCTCCTAAAGAATTAAAGTGTCTTCTAATTCTTAACTTTCTTACTACCGGCTTGAGAGATGCCAGAGAGACTGCGGGACCGCCAAACAAGCGTCTCCGGTTTAAAAGGCTTGCAGTACCGCAGGCGCCTGACGGTAACTTTCCCGCCCTCCCAAACTCCCCGGGACCCACGGGGCCACCCTCCCCCGGCCGCCGGCCGCGTCCCCCGCGGGGCAGCCCTGGGCGAAGCCAGACACGCCAGGCCCGGAGGCGCAGCCGCCACCTCCCTCCCCCTCTTCTCGGGCTAAAGAGGATGAACCTAGGCAGGAGGGCAGAAAGGGAGCGGGAGCACGGCCGTTACCTGGGGCCCCAGCGCGGATGCGGGGACCCCCGCAAAGAGGGCAGACCTGGGAAGCCGTCACGACGCCGCTGGCGGAAAGGTGGGCTCCGGGAACCTCTCCCGGGACCCAGGGCCCGCAACGACGCCCTCGCGGTAGCTGAGGAAGATAAAGCGTCCGGCAGCCCCGGCCCTCCACCCCAAACCTCTCGGCTCCATTGCGTCACGCGCACCGCCACCGCCGACTGACGCTCCCATTGGTGGTCCCGGCCGCCACCAGGCTCCGCCCACCGCCCACAGAGACCCGCCCCTTCCCGGGAGCGCGAGTCCTCGGATCTGGACCCCTCAGCTGGCCCCAGTCCCCAGCGAGAGAAGGTTCGCATCTGCAAATTGTGACACGGGCGGACCTTAACGCTGGCAGCAACATCCTGCTTTCCATTTCCACCTCCAGCGATAGAATGCGCGGCAGAAACTGGACGGTGACAACTTCCTGCAAGTCCAAACGGCACGCTGTGCGGTAGTATGGAACTGAGAAGTCTGGCTCTTCTGCAGACTCACAGAAGCTGCTTCTGGAAATAAGGATCATTGCAGTTTGGGCTGACTGTCTAAGAATAAAAAAAGACCTGCTAGCCAGAAGCTTGAATCTAGCTTAGATGCACAAAAGGAAGACTGCTGCCCTTTGTCATGGAATGCTTTGTGTTTTGCAAACCATGCTTGTCTGTGTCCTTCAGCAACATGCCAACTAGATAAAGAGACAGGAAAAAAACATGAAATAATGGGACAGTTAAGTAATTTAAAGGGTCCTTGGGACTTCATAATCAAAGGAAAAATGATCCAGAGAGATTTAGGACAAAGATAAGACACAACAGGTAGTTGCTTAGATTTCGGAAGGGCAAAGGTCTAAGTGAATTTAGGGTAAAGGTAGGTGAAAAGGCAATAATGAGGGAAGCAGAGGCAGAACAGTTGTACTCACAGCCTGCAAACCGGTATCAGCTAAGCTGGCCTGACTAATCACTTGATCCCTACTCCAAAAGGTTGATCACACTCCTCTCCAGGTCAGGATGCCCTGAACAAATGGATCAGGGTTATGAGAACTGATTATTCACTATGGACCTTTTAACAAAATGTGTTTGTAAAGCCGGGCATGGGGCAGTGCCTGTGGCTCAAAGGAGTAGGGTGCTGGCCCCATATGCCAGAGGTGGCGAGTTCAAACTCAGCCTCAGCCAAAAACTGCAAAAAAAAAAAAAAAAATGCTGAGCATGATAGATCATGCCTGTAATCCTAGCACTTTGGGAGGCCTAGGAGGGTGGGAGTTTCAGCCCACCCTGAGCAAGAGTGCTCCCATCTCTACTAAAATTAGAAAAAACTAGCCAGGCATGGTGGCTGGTGCCGGTAGTTTCAGCTACTTGGCTGAGGCAAGAGGATTGCTACGATGATGCCACAGCACTCCACCCAGGGGAACAAAGTAAGACTTAGTCTCAAATTTTTTTAAAAAATGTATTTGTACAAGTCTCCCTGGTCACCTAGAACAGGCTGAACGGTTGATCCTCAAGCACAACTGGCCTGATCAATTGGAGTTCAGTACTGTATCTATCATTGGCAGACCTGCCCAGTTTTTGCCTCTTCCACAACAGTTTTAATGATTACTTCTGCCAACTGGCTGACAGTAGGGTCTAGTGGATCACAGCTATTCTGAAGCTTCCCCTCTCCCCTCCCTCCAGTTAAAGAACGGTAAGAACAAGGGGATTCAGTTCTATACTCTGTTGGCTGCCTTATATATGCACCAAGAAAACTTACTTTTACTTGCTTCATGTATTAATTTAAAAAATATTGGCTTGGCATTCGTAGTACAGTGGTTATGGAGCCAGCCACATACAGAGGCTGACAGGTTCAAGCCCTGCCTGGGCCAGCTAAGCAACAATGACAACTGCAACAAAAAAATGGCCAGGCATTGTGGCAGGAGCCTGTAGTCCCAGCTACTGGAAGGCTGAGGCAAGAGAATTGCTTAAGCCCAGGAGTTTGAGGCTGCAGGGAGCTGTGACTACATAGCACTCTACCGAGAGTGACATAATGAGACTCTGTTTCAAAATAAATAAATAGGGTGATGACTCAAAGGAGTAGGGCACCGGCCCCATATGCTGGAGGTAGTGGGTTCAAACCCAGCCCCAGCCAAAAACTGCAAAAATAGTTGAAGTGGCACCCATAGATCAGTGGGTAGGGCACTGGCCACATACACTGAGGCTGGTGGGTTCGAACCTGGCCAAGGCCTGCTAAGCAACAATGACAACTGCAACAACAACAACAAAAATAGCTGGGCCTTGTAGAGGGCACCTGCAGTCCCAGCTACTCAGGAGGCTGAGGCAAGAGCATCACTTGAGCCCAAGAGTTTGAGGTATGTGAGCTATGAGTCATCTTGTTTACTACCTCTTGTCACACCTGCACCTCAGAAAAATATCCTGACATACATCAACTTCTGTACCATAGCACTCTACCAAGGGTGACAAAGTGAGACTCTGTCTCAAAAGAAAGAAAAGAGAAAAGGAAAAAAACTGAGTAGCCTGGGAAAGACTTTCTGACATGATCTGAACTGAAACCTAAATAAGGAAAAGAAGCCAACCATGGAGAGGAAGAAAATTCTAGACAGAGGACAATAGATGTGAAGGCCCTGCTGCTGAACAAGCTTGACTCGTTTGAGGAACAGAAGGCTAGAGGGTTTGCGCAGGGGAAGTAGGGGGTATGGGTTGAGGTTGAAGCATTAAGCAGGAGCTTAATTATATTGTTTGGATTTTTTTTTTTTTTTTTTTGAGACAGAGTCTCACTGTGTTGCCTCGAGTAGAGTGCCATGGTGTCCTAGCTCATAGCAACCTCAAACTCTTGGGCTCAAGTGATCCTTTTGCCTCGGCCTCCCTGGTAGTTAGAATTATAGGTGCCCACCTCAATGACCAGCTAGTTTTTCTATTTTTAGTAGAGACAGGGTCTTGCTCTTGCTCAGGCTGGTCTTGAACTCCTGAGCCCAAGCAAACCACCTACCTCAGTCTCCCAGAGTGCTAAGATGACAGGCATGAGCCTCTGTGCCTGGCCTGTTTGGAGTTTTTTGTGAAGTGCAAAGGAAAGATAATAAAGGGGGGGCAGGTATTTAATAAACCTATTTTATAGAGAATGACTTGGAGAGCATAAATGGAACAAGGAGAAGCCAGAGAATAGGAAGTTATTGAGCAATTCTATGGGGTAGGTAGTTGTTACCTAGAGTAGAGTAGTTGCTAAAAAGAAGTTGATGTGTGTCAGGATATTTTTCTGAGGTGTAGGTGTGACGCGAGAGGTAGGAAGCAAGATGACTCCCAGGTTGTTTTCTTGAGCAACCATGTCCTGCAAGGGTGAAGACCACATAATATGATTGGAGGGACTCCAAAAGCCTCTGCCCAGACTTCAGCCCTCTCCCTCCACTGGACTGAAAATCTCACATCATTCAATCCTTAGGATCAAGGCTTGGTTAAATGCTGGCTTCATTATATTCCAAAAAAATACATACAGAATTTATTCCAGTTGATAGGGCTATAAGGATGGATCAGACTATCTGTTTGGGAAACAGAGAACTGAAGCCATTTCAAAGCAATAGGATAAGAGTTACAATAAAAAGAGGTTTTGAAAGTTCCTGTTTCTTAGACAAGGTGGCATGAGGAAAAGAAAAAGAGGTACCTACCTACCAAGGAGTCACTATGAGGATTAAATGAGTTAATGCCTTCAAACCATCTCGGACACTGGCAAATAGACTCTGGCTCAATCAATATTAACAGTTATGATTGTTGATGTTATTATCTTCCAGTTGCAGTGGGAGCAGATGAAATGATTATCACAGCTGTTATCACAGCAGGCTACTGGAGAAGGAAGGGAGATTGCAAGAAGGCTAACTGAGCCCAGTTTTCTGAACCTGCAGGAGGAGTTTAGGTTAGGGATGGGGAGGAAGGACATTCCAAGCAAATGAAAAACAAGGTCACAGGTGGTGCCTGTGGCTCAAGGATAGGGTGCCGGCCCCATATACCGGAGGTGGTGGGTTCAAACCTGGCCCCAGCAAAAAAAAAAAAACAAGGTCAAATGCCCCAAGGAAAGAAGGAACCAGAACTATCTAGGAGACATGAAGATAGTTGAGTATCATTAAGGTGACAAAAGGTAAAAAATAAAAAAAAATTTAAAAGCTGGTGTCAGGACCTAAAGAGTAGGTAGGCCATGCTGAAACATTTTGATTCATACTTTCATAGACAGTGTGGAGCCAGAAGGATATTAAGTAGGGGAGAGTCATGATTTAGGAGTTATACCAGAAGGAGGTGGAATTGGAGGTGGAAAGATCAATGAGAAGGGTAAGGAGCTAAGGCAGTAGCATGTGGGATGGAAAGGGACATGTTTTAGAGACATGATCAAAGGACAATTGACAGAATTAGATAGTGTTGGTATGGGTATGTATAGGGAAGTTAAGGTAAGTATCCAGGATTTATGACCAGGCTGGGTGGCTAGAGTTAGTGCTGACTGAGATAAGGAAATACATCCTGGAAAAGAAGCAAGAATAAGCTTTACTTGGGTTAATATTTAAGCTGCAATAGTTCTACTAAAGGAAATGAACAAGAAACAATAAAGGGGTGGCGCCTGTGGCTCAGTGAGTAGGGCCCCAGCCCCATGTACCAAGGGTGGCAGGTTCAAACCCAACCCCAGCTGAACTGCAACCAAAAAATAGCTGGGTGTTGTGGCAGGTGCCTGTAGTCCCAGCTAATTGGGAGGCTGAGGCAAGAGAATCACTTAAGCCCAGGAGTTGAAGGTTGCTGTGAGCTGTGTGATGCCATGGCAGTCTACCAAGGGTGACAAAGTGAGACTCTGTCTCTACAAAAAAAAAGAAAAAGAATCAAGTTTTGTCCTGTTTTTTATAATAAAATAACTTTCACATTTTTTCTAGACATATAAAAAATGCAGACATCGCAGAAAATAAAATCAAATACAGAAAAGTACAAAGATAAAAGCCATCTCATACTCTGTCCAGAACAGAACAGCTAAATCTTGATGTGAGGCAGGAAAAGCACAAAGCCTTGAGCTGGGGACGGAGCCTCACTGCCAAAAGACACTGGATCTTACAGGGGAGCCAAAAGGAAAACTGAACAGATATTAAACCAGGTTTTAAA